TGAGAGCCGTTGCTCAATTAGTCACTCACCATGTCCCAAACAGTCCTTTAAGACTTAGGGCTCTCCACAGACTGACACGGTGGCTTCAACGATGGGCTCAGGTATAGCAAGGATCTGACCCTCAGCTCAAGCCTCAGGCACTTTCCCCTCCATATGACCTCGAACCCCACCTTCAAACACCACCTCCGGCTTCTGACCCTGAACTTCAGCCCCACACTGTCTCCTCCATCTGACCTTGAGCTCCAGCTCCGCCCACCACCTCCCCCATCGACCCGAGCTCCAGCCTCCTGCAGCCAGCCACCTGCTCCAGACCCCTGCCCCGATGTCCTCAGGCCCCTCTCACTTGTGGACTCTTAGCCGAGTTCTCTCTTCCGGCCACCATCTCCTTGTCCCAGGTTCCTCATCTCAGTGACAGCCCCAGCGCCCACCCAGTTGTGCCGCCAGACCCCAGGGTGCTGTCCTCACCTCCCCCTACTCTCAGCCCATCCCTCCCAGCCCCACCCTCCTGCCCCTGCCTCTCAGCCCTTTCCCCGGTCCCTGCCTCCCACGGCTCTGAACCTGCCCCTGCCCCCTGCCCCACCTGGACCTCACTCCATCCTCCTCCCCTGCCTCCAACTCCTCGCTCCAACTTCTCCACAAGACGCAGAAAACACAGCGCCTGGGGCTCACGGTACTTCTTAAAGGTCACGAGAACATGTTAATGTCTTCAGAAGAAAGAAAAGGAACTTGTAAGATCAAGGAAAACTTTTTCATATTTTCCTCACATCAGAAAATTCTAGAGTCTACAATGATTTTGTTCTTAATTTTTATTGTGGCTTGGGTGAAAGTTGACAGAGCAAATTCACTTTCCTTACAGCAGCTCACATACGCTTGGTCTCATGACATTGACTGCAATTTCCCACAATGCAACAGCTCCCCTCCCACTTCCTCTAGGGTCTACAATAATATTTGAAAAAATCACTATTTTTTTTTTTTTTTTTTCTGAAAGAAGGGAACCTCAAAGGCAAAAGTGACTGGGGCTCAGAATGTCATTGTGGGGCCAGCCTCCAGTCCGTCCCCTCTTCCATGTGACCCCAGAGGGACCTCGCTGCAGTCAGAACTGACTCTTCTCATCTCCTGGTCACAGCCCTCCCATGGCTCCCTAGTGCCCTAGCCCTGAGCCTGACATTTAAGGCCTCACCTTGAACTTCCTCCCCAAAGGATATTCACGCTATGAAGCACCCGGGGTCTCTGAGTGGAGGCACTGGATTCCTGGTGCCCAGGGAACCTCCTCTTCAAGACTCTGGTTCTCCATTGAGTCTCAACACAACCATGTGTCGTTATGGGAACAGTGCAGGTGGTGTTGCAAGGCGCTGGCCCAGCATTCAGAGCCCTGTTCCACCCCTTACTGGTGTGGGAGACCCTGCATAAGTGTATTCCGTTTTCTGTGCCTCAGCTTTTCATCTTTAAAATGCGATGGTAGCCCTTATACCAAAAGGTAGAAACAACCTATGTCTGTCAACAGATTAAAGAAAATTGATGCATCCATATAATGGAATATTACTCAGCCATGTAAAAGGAACGGAGGGCTGATACATGCTACCATGTGGATGAACCCTGGAAACATGACGCTGATACATGTTATCACCTGGATGAACCCTGAAAACATGACACTAGTGTAAAAATAAACCACAAAGGGACAAGCATTGTGTGATCTCACTTCTAGGAACTGTCTAGAATGGACAAATGCGTGGAGGTGGAAAGTCGAGTGGAGGTTGCCAGGGACAGGAGAGGGGGGCACTGAGCTTCCGTTTGGAGGGGCGAGAGACATCTGGACGCAGAGAGTGGTGATGGGCGCACAACTCTGTGAAGGGGAAGAGTGCCACCTAACCGCACATGTGAAGATGGTTCCGTCGGCAAATCGTTACACATATTTTACCACAATGAAATAAAATTAGACTCCCTCGAAGGGCTGTTGCAAGGACCCAACACATACTAAATGTTGTTGTTGTTGTTGTTAAGTGTCATCGAGTCGTTTCCGACTCATAGCGACCCCATGCACAGCAGAACGAAACACTGCCCGATCCCGCGCCAGCCCCACAATCCCTGCTATACTTGAGCCCA